GGAAATGTTAGCAGCCTGATCAGCTTTTTATTGCCGTCTCTTCCCCCTGTTGTAGGTTTTCCCTCACTTCCTGTATGGTAAAAGGTTCTCCCCAGAAAAGGAAGTGAGGGGAAATCTCTCCAACAGAACCTCAGATTGCGGTAAAACCTGACAGGGGTTCTAATCCTTTCATTCCATCCTAAGCTAGAAAAAAATGTTTGGCTGTAGATCCATTTTATGTTGTCACCTTAACAGGAAGTGAGGGGATCTCCTAATAGGATCACCTGTCAACGAGAAGATTTGCTCTCACCTCCTGTTGTGTCTGTGGGGGGGGGGGTTACCATTTCCTACACTGAGAAGAGAGCACACTGATGGGAGGCGAGAGCAGGGTGACAGAGAGATGATCTAATCACTGTGCTGCTTCTCCTTTCACTGTTCAAAATCACAACCACTTGATGTCCCCAGGCCTCCAGGCTGAATGACATCCAGCAGACTGAGGACAGGGTGTCATGGCTCCGCCCCCTAGGTGGGCACCACCGATGTCCCCAGTGTCTCGGACCCTATTGAAGCCAGAGGACTGGCATTTTCTGCAGCAGGTCAGGCGGTCCCCTCGGGGTGGGCTTCCTTTAAATCATTGGTCCTATATAGGGTTACCACCCGTACGGTTTTCACCCGGACAGTATGGGTTTCGGATCCTGTGTACGGGTGGGAGGCGGGCTCAAACGGCAGACTTGCTCACCTGGCGGCGGGTGGTGAGCACCGGGCATCGAGCGGTGAGCGGCGGGCAGTGAGCGCCGGGCATCGAGCGGTGAGCACCGGGCATCGAGCGGTGAGCAGTGAGCGCCGGGCATCGAGCGGTGAGCACCGGGCATCGAGCGGTGAGCAGTGAGCGCCGGGCATCGAGCGGTGAGCATGTGGATCTGTGGCACACTGGCATCTTTGTGATTACCTCCAATGTTATTTAAATCACAAAATACATGCATAGTGTACTTTACCAAACAATTGCCGCGAGGCGCTACAGTGTTCGGGTTTGGCTTGAAGAGAAGGTGGCAACCCTAGTCCTATACACATTCGTTGCGCATTAACCCCTTCCATGTCAGATCAAGTATTACATGCCCATCACCAGAGGGGTCTCCTGCCAGGAGAGGCTCACTGACAGCCAATCAGGTTGGAGCTTAGATGAAGTGAAAGTAGGGAACATGAGATTAAATCTTATTGGCTGCTGGAGGCGAAGCCCCTCCCCTGTGTCATGCTGGGACTTGTAGGTCCACACCAGCAGCCAGTGGTGAAGTCTGCTCAAAGCTTAGCGCTCACCTGTCCTCCCTTCTACCTCTCTACGTGTCCTCTGGACGCCGCCATCTTTACTGTGCTACAACATAATCTTTCCGGTCACACATCCTTCCGCCGTGTATCCCTCCGCTAGTCCGCGGGAAATAATGTATCCGGTGATGTGTCGAAAGTGCGAACTTATCGAGTTGTGGGACCGCATGACTTCCGGTTTCCTCAGAACTACGATGTTATTGTGTTTGTATCGGTGACACAAAAAAGTGGAGAGAAAAAAAAGCCAAATTTGACCCATTCCACGCAAAACTCAAAAAATGGACAAAATTATTGGCACCCTCTATAAATATTTGGTAGCCCAGCCCTTGGATCAATGAGTTTCTTACACCTCTCTACAGGAATGTTGGAGCGCTCTTCTTTCACCAGCTGCTCCGGGTCTCTCAGATTGGAAGGTTCCTTTTCCCTCCACAGGAGCTCTATGGGGTTCAGATCTGGACTTATTGCTGGCCAGTCCAGTACTCTCCAGCGCTTTGTCTGAAACCATTCCTGGGTCCTTTGGGCCATTGTCCTGCTGTAAGACCCGTGACCTCTGACGGAGACCCAACTTTATGACACTGGGCCTTACATTGCACCCCACAATTCTTTGGTAGTCTTCAGATTTCATAATGCCGTGCGCACAGTCCAGACACCCAGCGCCTGAAGCAGCAAAGCAACCCCAAAACATCAGTGACCCCCCCCCCCCAATGTGTGACTGGAGGGACTGGATTTTGAATGATGGGCTGCACCAAAAAGCTGCCATTTTGTTTCGTCCGTCCCCAGCACTTTCTCCCAGAAGGATTTTGGCTTCTTCAGGTCAGTTTTGGCCTTTTGATGTTTCTGTGTCAGCAGTGGGGTCCTCCCGGTCTCCTATCATTCAGAGGGCGACGTATAGTGCGAGCTGACACAGTTGTACCCGGTGTCTGAAGGTCGGCTTGGATTTGTCTGGAGGGTGATGGAAGGTGATGGAGATCGGCTCCGGTGCCGAGGGCTGGAAACTTCCTGACAATGGTGCGCACAGAGGACACAGGAACATGGGGATCTCTGGAGATGGATTTGTAACCTTCACACTGTCCGTGCTTCTCCACAGAAACTTGGAATGCAATTATTTCTTGTAATTTGGAGAAGGTGCCAATAATTTTGTCCATTTTTGGAGTTTTGCGTGGAATGTGTCAGATTTGGCTTTTTTTCTTCCACTTTTTTGTGTCACCGAAACAAACAGAAGAAATAAAAATGAGAATGCCGAAACATTTTGTCATTGTAACAATTTCCTGTACGAAGTTATCTGACAGAAATGCCGGGGGAGCAATATTTTCGGCCATGACTGTATATGATGTATTATTTGTATGCTCAGGTCGTGGTGGAGACATCGGAGAGACCTCACAGTCATATTTATCATCCGTTAAAACTGGGAGGTGGTTTTAGTTCTTTTTCCCCCTGTAAGGGCCCATTCACACCACATCCAGATCAGATTGTTTCCGGACCCAAAATGCATCCCAATGTATCCCTATGCTATTTCTGGCCCCTGTTCCCACCAGCGCAGTCCATTCCAGACCAGAAAAGTACTACTCGTCTCATTTTTTGTCTGGTTTGCAACTGCAGGCAGGTTCACACCATTTTCCGGACCAGATCTGGCCTGGAAAATAGTGTGAGGGCAAAAAGGAACTGGAACGCGCCCAGAACGCGATAAAAACGCGCTGCACGCATAGCACCGTGTCTGCAGATCTGGACCAGAAAATGGTGTGAACAAGCCTGCCCTAAAATGCAGGAAAAAAATAAAATCCCTTTTGAGGTTATGAAGTACCAAGAAAGGAAACTGATTTTCCCAAAAAATGTCTAATTTTGGGCTTCTCACAATGTGCATTAGAAGCTGCAGCAAGTCAGATAGAGCTCCGCCTCATTTCCTGGGTGCAGGACGTCCAGCATCATCTAGACTTTCCTCCCTGGCCTGACAGTTCCTGATCCACCCCTTTCAATCATTTGGATTTCAGATCTGTCAATCATGGAGGCTCAGCATCATATTTGGGTGTGACTTATACAAATACAGCCTAAGAACACTCCACCATCAAGACATTTCGACATTAGCATAACTCCTCCCAAGAGCCAGCCCACTGTTTGTATCAGGGCTGAGGGCTCTTGAG